GGAAAGAGAGCGAAGGACACCAGGAGGAAGCAGCAGGCAGGGAGAGACGTGCTGGCTGCGTGGCTGGGAGAAGAAGCCCTCAGCCAGCAACCCCTCAGCCTGACAGCCCACTGCCACCCTCCTCGCCGCACAGGCTGGCTCCTGCCCTGGGGCTGGTGCAGCACTGGGATGTGGGTGCTCAGGCTGTGCTGGGAGCCACGGTTGGGCACCAGCATCTTGCACCCAGGAGCTCCCTGAGACCAGTCCACTGAGCACCTCTGCTGCCCCTCCCAGGCAGCCAGGACGGAGGGGAGCAGAGTCCACCTGATGCCCCCGCTGGTTCATCCCCCTGGCAGCACTGCCTGTCAGGGCCCCTGACTGCAGCATCTCCTCCTTCCCACCCTCCTTCCCCAGCCTGCAGCCAAGCCCCAGGGCCAGAGCTTGCCCAGCACCTGCACAGACTGTGGGTCCTTCCTCTCAGCCCTGCAGCCCACAATGCAGCCTGACCCTCCCACGGGGCTCCTCTCCTCCAACCCTGGCAGCACAAATCAGCCTTTTTCTGGCTCCACATCCAGGCCAGATTTCCTGTCCCCACCCTCAATGCTCTGCTCTTGCCCCCTCCTTACCCATCGCCCTGCAGCTCCCCAACCCCACACTGCCTCCCACACTCCCTTTATGTCCATCTCCCCTGCTGTCCCTGGGCCTGGAGCAAACACCCGGATCCTGGGCAGAAGCAACCTTCGCCTCCTCCTCCTGACCCAATCCTAACTCAGGCCTCTCAGCAATTTCCCCTCCACCGAGTGCCCAGCCCTGAGTCCTGCATAACTTTATTCACATTCATGGGACCAGTGCCAGCACGGAGCATCTGGACAAGGCGCCATGTGCTGGAGGAAGGCTGGAGGGTTTGGGCTCCAGGTTAGGGCCAGCACCCAGGAGATCAGAGTTTGGAGGTCAGATGTCCAGCCACTAATTCTCTGTGCAACCTGGGACAAGTCGCTGCAGTTCCCTGGGCTTCAGGCTGGAGAAGGGGGAGAATGGGCCTGCCCTTGCCTGCCTGGTCTCTGTGGACTGGGAGCCCCTCAGGGCAGGGCTGGTCTCCTACTCTGCCCCTGAGGCTCCCAGCCCAGAGGGGCCTGAATTCAGCGATGTCCCCCTGGATCTGCTGGAATATATGCAGCTGCACACTGGTGGGCAGATCCTGTCACATGCACTGATGCTGAGCATCACTTTGCTTCTCACAAAAACAGTTACAGTACCAGCACCTGGCAGGAATCAGACATGGGTGTTGTGCTCCTCCTGATGCCCCATGTGCTGCAGGGGGTCACACAACAGCCTGCCCCTGCCCTGTGGCCTCTCCAGGACAGAGCTGGAGCCCTGGCAGCTGAGCAGGGGCACGTAGGGCATTGGGTCCTGGGAGGGGTGCAGCTCCTCTCTCCCTTGGTGGGGATCTCTCAGTTCCGGTACATGAGGTTTGCAGCCTTGTTGCTAACCCCACTGACCCTAGGGAGTAACCAGCTTCCCTGACCCTGTGCCCAGTACCTGCCCCTGCACCAGACAGAGGGAGGAGTGGTGAGGCCCATGGATGGTGTCAGCAGGGAGCAGCTCAACCCCTCATTAGCAGGAGGCTGAAGAGCCCCGTCCAGAGGTGCTGCACCAGGATCTGGTGATCCTAGTGTTTATCCAGAGCAAATTCTCTAGGGAATGTCCTGTCTCCTGTACACACAGGCAGGGACATTGTGACTCTGCCTGTTAGTGCTTGTGAGAGGGTGTTGGGGCAGAGAAAGTCAAAGGTATCTGGGGAGACAGGACCAGGAGCCTCTGATGAAGCATTGGCTTCACTTACCTGCATATTGTCGGGCTCGGGCAAGTCCTGAAATAACCAGAAACCAGAGGTCACACAACCAGGCACAATCCCACAGGACACATCAGTGGACAGGACATTGAAAGCACCAAAACCAGAACTTACCCAGCTCTGCCAAGGGTCCCAGGAAGAAGAGGTGAGGAGAGAAAATAAAGACATGGGTCAGTCAGTACCACAGTTGCCAACTCTGCAACTCTACTGGTGTCCCACAAAACATATGGTAAAAAACATGGGCCAATAACATCTTTGAAAAACTTGAGTCCTCCATAAATAATCAATCAACAGGGAACTGGATAAACCAGCAGAGCACAGCACCATCCCCAGTGTGTGAGCGGGACCCCAGCGCCCTGCAGGGAGCTCTTGTCAGGGCTTTGGGGCTCGCAGGAACCTGCTGAGACCTCTCCTTTACCCAAACCATGTGCTGCTGCTAGGTCCCTTTGGCCGTCCCCTGCCTGTAACAGCGGTACATCTCAAAGGTACAGGGATGGGGGTGTGGGGCTGAAAAGAAGCTGTGGGTCAGGAGTGGGTGAAGGAATGGGAAGAGGTGTGTGCCAGGATGGGGGAGAAGCACTGGTGAGGTAAGGCTAGGAGATGGGCCAGGGAGGGTGCAGGACTGTGTGCGGTGTGTTGAGGGGTGCCAGAGTGTGGGGGTGCATAGAGGGCCCTGGGCTGGGGGCACCACGTGGTAATACCACTGCTGCAGCCATGTAGGATTGTCAACCCTGGTCCGTAGCCATGCTCCTTACTGACAAAGTTGCCCCCATGTTGAACACAACCCACATTGACTTCAGTGGACATGTTGCCTGATTTCAGACTGCAGGATTCAGACCCCCTTTGCTAGGGATGCTACTGTAAAGCTCCTGATCCTGAGACCTCCCCAGCCCCTCTGGGAGTCAGGGGAGCTGCCCCTGGGGGCAACACTCAGGGGGAAGCAGACAGAATAGGACCACTGGTAAGGACTGGGCCCTCCCCTGCTCAGCCCTTTGTGCAGAGACTGGCCAGACTGGCTACAGCTGGCCCTGCCTAGACATCCAAGCAGTCCTCAGGAACAAGGATTGCTCGGGTGGTGTAAACAGCACCCCCAGCACAAGCACTGTGCCACCTGCCCCATCCTGCTATGGAGGTGTGGGGCAGAGCAGTGCGCATGGCTCCGCCTCAGGGACCGCAGCCAGCTGGAGTCCGTGCAGCCCCTGCAGTCGCCAGAGGACCGGGGAGCACAACCAGCTCCTGCCTGCCACCCTGAGCCCCAGTCCTTGGGCTGGAGAGTGTCTGCACCCAGCTCAGCTCGCTCTTCTTCCCATGAGCACCAAGTCCATGACTACTTCACACCCAATGGGGTCCTGACAGCCTGCGGGTTTCAGTGGGGTGCAGGGTGCTCAGCTCTGCACAGGATCAGGTGTAGGCCCTTGCAGTAAGCTGGGGCATCCCTCCATGAGCACGGGGTACGACGGGGGCATTGTTGTGATGTTGCTGTACCACAAATGTTTCTCTCTCTGTGTCCATCCACCTCTGTGGACAAGCCCTCTCACAGGTCTCATCCAGAGCAGGGCCATGGGTCCCTCCACACTGGGCCCACAATGATGTGGAAATGGGTTGGGGCAGTGGGTGGGATGACGGTGGGGGTGAACCTGCACATCCCAGCTCTCCGGAAAAGAGAGTACAATGTGAACCACCATCCAACAAAGCACCAAGATTTGGGGGAAGGCCCAGACTGCCAGAGCTTCATCAGGGCTTTGGGCCAAGACAGGGGCAGGCCGGGGCAGGAGAGGTGGGTCATGGGCAGAGGGGGATGAAAGGCAGGAGGACAGGCTTGGCTGTGCAACTAGCTGACATCAGGGAAGCCAAGCTGAAGGACTCTGTGGTCCAGATGTCAAGAAGGATCCCAGAGGCCCTGACCCAGCCCCAAGGGTGCTCCCTGGAGCCAAGGCAGCTGGGGAGGAAAACGTGCGCAGAGCTGTTATCTTTGTCCAGAAACGTGCATCTCCTGTGCGGTTAAGTGAAGAGCAGGGGCAAGATCTCTGTGTGCCGTGCTCTACCATCACATATCATAGATTCACAGATGTTCGGGTCGGAAGGGACCTCAATAGATCATCGAGTCCGACCCCCTGCATAAGCAGGAAAGAGT